CGCGGGCTCGTCTGCGGACGCCCTTGTTCCCCCCCAGGAAAACATATCACCCCGAGGCCAGGTGATTTTTTGCGGGGCCGCCCTCTCAAGGCCCCACGGCCAGCTTTTGGGTCGAGGAGGAGGAGGGGCAGGAGGACGAGGAGGTGATCAAGAGGAACCAGAGAAGCAGGAGGACGAGGAGGTTGAGCAAGGGGTCAAGGACGGAATGAAAGGTCCGAAGCTGCTCCGAGACCAGACCGCGCTGAGCTGCAGGGTTTTCGGAGCCGCTTAAGGCCTATCATTTCGTCCGTGTCCCCCTGCTCAACCTCCTCGTCCTCCTGCTCCTCCTCCTCCTCCTCCTCCTCCTCGTTTTCGTCTTGATCACAACGTCCTCGTCCTCCAGCTCCTCTTCTTTCTCGACCCAAGAGCCGGCTGTGGGGCCTTGAAAGGGCGGGCCGGAAAAAAGTCACCGGGGCTTCGGGCTGATTTTTTGTCTGGATGGGGGCAGAGGCGTCCACAGACTAACCGGCGCTGAGCTGCAGGCTTCTCGGAGCCGCTGCGGCCAAAGAAAGGCTGCCCTGCAGGTTGTCTCGGAGCCGCTGCGGCCAAGAGAAGGACATTTTGCCGGTTTGACTGTTGGGTCGCTTTGTCGGCTGATATCGGGCGCGTCGTCGTCGTGGTCGTCGTTGTCGTCGTCGTCGTCGTGGTCGTCGACGTCGTCGTCGTCGTCGGCACCATCGTCGTGGTGGTCGTCGTTGTCGTCGTCGTCGTCATCATCGTCGTCGTTGTCTCTGTCGTCGCCGTCCATAAGTTGGCCCCAACAGGGCCCCAAGAGGGCCCCAAGAGGGCCCCAGGGCCCCAAGAAGGCCCCAGGAGTTATGTACCAACCCAACGGCCGCTGGTACATAACTCCTGGGGCCCTCTTGGGGCCCTCTGAGGGCCCTCTCGGAGCCCTCTTGGGCCCCTGGTTGGCCCACGAGATGGCTCCAAGAGGGCGCCAAGAGGGCCCCAAGAGGGCCCCAAGAGGGCCCCAAGGGGGCTCCAAGAGGGCCCCAAGAAGGCCCCGGGAACTATGTACCAACCCAGCGGCCGCTGGTACATAACTCCTGGGGCCCTCCTCCTCCTCCTCGGCGACGACGAGGAGGAGGAGGAGGAGGAGGAGGTGTAAATGCACCCTTACCCAGCCCCTGCAGGACCAGGCAGCGACACTTGGACCAAATTTCCCGGCCACTGTTTTGACCCCAGAGTTCTCGACCCCGTCCAGGAGTTCCCGACCCCAGCCCAGAGCTTTCGGCCCCATCCCGGAGCTCTCGACCCGCAGACGACGACGACGACGACGACGACGACGACGACGACGACGACGACGACGACGACGACGACGACGACGCCTCGACCTGGAGTGGGAAGTTTTGCTGCTGCTTTTCCCCAGGTTTTTGGAGCCCTCGGGGCCCGGGGGGGCCCAAAACGGATCCGAAGCCTCAAGTTTTCCGGCCCACGACCGACGACTGGCGATCACGACGACGACGACGACGACGGGCATGAGTTACTTGGCGCCCCCCCTTGGGAGCATCGGGTAACTGGGGGGTGCGCGCCACACACCCCACTTACCCGGTGTCCCCCAGGGGACATCGGGTAACTCGACCTTGCAGGGGGGGGGGGTTAGGCACGGGTTACCCGGTGGCGAGGGGGGGGGCATCGGGTATGTCGACCTTGCACGGGAGGGTGTTGTCGGGCATGAGTTGCCCGGTGTCCCCCGTGGGACATCGGAGTTGCCCGGTGATCCCCCGTGGGACATCGGCCCGTGGGACATCGGAGTTACCCGGTGTCCCCCGTGGGACATCGGAGTTACCCGGTGGTCCCCGTGGGACATCGGCCCGTGGGACATCGGAGTTACCCGGTGTCCCCCGTGGGACATCGGAGTTACCCGGCATCGGAGTTACCCGGTTTCCCCAGTAGGACATTGGAGTTACCCGGGTCCCCGTGCATGGGACATCGGCCCGTGGGACATCGGAGATTCACCCGGTTCCCCCCGTGGGACATCGGAGGTACCCGGTGGTCTCCGTGCGACTCCGGCCTGGCCCCTCTTGGGGCCCTCTTAGGGCCCTCTTGGAACCCTGGTTGACCCATAAGATGGCTCCAAGAGGGCCCTAGAGGGTCCCAAGAGGGCCCCAAGAGGGCTCCATGAGGGCCCCAAGAAGGCCCCAGGAGTTATGTACCAACCCAGCGGCCGCTGGTACATAATTCCTATGGCCCTTTGGGGGCCCTCTTTGGGCCCTCTTGGAGCCCTCTCGGGCCCCTGGTTGGCCCTAAGAGGGCCCCAAGGAGGCCCCAGGAATTGAACCAACCCAGCGGTCGCTGGTACATAACTCCTGGGGCCCTCTTGGGGCCCTCTGAGGGCCCTCTTGGGGCCCTCTTGGGCCCCTGGTTGGCCCTAAGAGGGCCCCAAGAAGGCCCCAGGAATTATGTACCAACCCAGCGGCCGCTGGTACATAACTCCTGGGGGCCCTCTGAGGGCCCTCTTGGAGCCCTCTTGGTCCCTAGGTTGGCCCTAAGAGGGCCCCAAGAGGGTCCCCAGAGGGCTCACAGAGGGCCCCAGGAAATATGTGCCAACCCAGCGGCCGCTGGTACATAACTCGTGAACCCCTCTTGGGGCCCTCTTGGAGCCCTATTGGGTCCCGTGTTGGCCCATATGATGGCTCCAAGAGGGCCCTCAGAGGGCCCCAAGACGGGCCCAAGAGGGGCCCAAGAGAGGCCTCAGAAACCGCTTGTAGGTGTGATCGAACAGCGCGTCTTGATGAGACCTCTCAGTGGTCTCTGGGGCGCGTCTTGGAGCCCTCTTGGGGTCCTCTGGAGCCCTCTGGGTGCTCCCAAAAAGGTTCCAAGGGACATCCGAGGGGGTGGAGGGAGGGTGGAGGGGAAGGTGGAGGGGGAGTTTGAAGGGAGTTGGAGGGGGAGGTGGAGGGGGGGCGGAGGGGGGTGGTGGAGGGGGGGTGGAGGGGGGGTGGGGGGGTTGGTGGAGGGGGGAGGGAGAGGGAGAGGGGTTTGATTAGGAAACGGGAAGAGGTTTGACGACCACGTTGACGACGACGACGACGACGACGACGATGACGACGATGACGAGTGGGCGCCTTGGCGTTCTCGTGGGCCGTCTCGGAGGCGCCTTGGAGGCCTTTTGGACCGTCTGGAGGCCGTCATTGGGCCGTCTTGGAGGCCTCTTGGGCGCTCTTGGGGCCATCTTGGGGGTCTCTTCGGCGGCACTGGGCCGTCGGCAGGCCGAAAGCGTCAAAATCCGTCAAGACCCCACGGGAAATCAGCTATCGTTGCCTCTTCGGGTCGTCCTGCAGGTCCCCATGGAGGCTTCTTGGACTGCATTAAAGGCCTCTTGGGGGCCTTTGGGGCCGTCCTGGGCCATCTTGGGGCCATCTTGGAACGCCTCGGGTGCATCTTGGGCCGTCTTGAAATATTGGGGCCATCTTGGGGCAATCCCAGCCGCCTTGGAGGCATCTTGGTGGCCATCTTGGGCCATTTGGGCCGTCTTGGTGGCGATGTGGGCCACACCTTCTGGTCTTTCCGAGGGGCAGGCGGTCTGGGCCGAAGGCCACTGGGAAGGGTTTGAACATAACAAGAGCAGCAAAATATCTGGCACGCCGTCCACGCCTGTGGCAAGCACAGGGGGCGGCGGATCCAAGACGCCTACGGCGAATCACCGCCTCGAGCCTTTTTGAGAAGCGCCTATGTGGCCAAACGACGGGCCCCAGCTTGGCCAAGCTATCTGATTATGTATTCCCCCAGCCGCTCCGGAAACTCTTCGGGGAACATTTGGGGGAGGCCGTGGGGGAGGCTGAGGGGGAAGATCAGGAGAGGGAGGAGGAGGAGGAGAAGGAGGAGGAGGAGGAGGAGGAGGAGGAGGAGGAGGCCTCTTGGGAGCCTCTTGGGGCACTCTTGTGGGGCCTCCTGGGGGCTTCCCGGGGGCCTCATGGAAGCCTCTTGGGGCCTCCTTGGGCCTCTTGGGGGCCTTGGGAGCGTCTTGGGGGCCTCTCCTTGGCCGTCTTAAAGCGTTCCTGGCCCATCTGACGGGTCTGACGCCGACGGAAGCCGTCTTGGGGGCCTCTCTGAACCGATGTGGGGTCCTCTTGAGGCGCTTCAGGGCCGTCTTGGAGGCCATCTTGGGCGTCTTAGAGGCCTCTTGGGAGGAGGAGGAGGAGGAGGAGGAGGAGGAGGAGGAGGAGGGGGAGGAGGAGAAGGGGGAAGAGGAGGAGGAGGAGGAGGAGGAGGAGGAAGATGAGGAAGAGGAAGAAAAGGATTGGGAAAAGCAGGCGAAGAGGGAGTAGGAAGAGAATCAGGGAGGAGGGCCAGGAGAAGGAGGCGGGGGGCAGGAGCGAGGAGCCACAATCGGACAACGAGAGACAAAGTCGGAGCAACCCCCAACCCCCAGAGTCTGGGGGCGCCCCAGAGTCTGAACAGCACCTGTTTCAGACTGTATGAGCCTGAGGGGGTCCGGGGAGGTTTTGCAGGCGTTCAGGGCTTTTGTCCGGGCTCACCCCCAGGAGTATTGCAATCTCCCAAACAAACGGTTTCGAAGAATGTCGGTAGTCCTGGTCCAGCGCGTCCGGAGTTTAGAGGGCCCTGGTTCCTCCACTGTCTTTCCTCCCTCTTCCCCAACCCTCGTAACAGTGTGTCCTGCCCCGTAGCGAGAAAGGCAATGATAAGCGTCAGAGAATTCAGCAGGGCCAGCTTCCAAACCCCAAAGGCCCGTCGCGCGTTACTGCCGCGGCGATAGCACTGCTAGGCGCGAGGCCGTCCTCCGTGGCCCGCCCCCTAGGTTGTGAGCACCAGTTCCAGCGAATTCTCCCCCCCTCCCTCCCTTACCCCTCCCCCCCGTCCGTCCGCCCCCCCCTCCCCTTTTTTTACTTCTCCCCCCCCGCGCCCCCCCTCTCCCCCCCCCTCCCCCCCCCCGCCTGCCAGGCAGGCAGCCCCCCCTCTCCCCCATCCCCCCCCCATCCCGTTCCCTCCTCCGCCAGGCAGCTCGGCGGCCGCGGCAGCGGCGGGGGTGCGCGGGCCGGCGGCGCCGCGCGGGGCCAGGAAGCCCTGCGCAGCTCGGTGCTGGCGCTGCGGAGAGCGGGCGACGCGCAGGCACGCGCCTGCTTCCCGGGCCCCTCTTGGCGCTACGGCTGCCGAGCGCGAGGGCGAGGTCGTTCTGGACCGAGTGTTGTCATCGTCGTCTCACCACTTCCCTCCAGACAGGCCTGGGGAAGGGAGGCGAACAAGGAGAGAGGGGACGTCCAGGGGTCGGGACTGGGGGTTTGGAGGTGCATCGAGAAAGGGGGCATTGGGAAAGAGAGGGGCACGACTTGGAGCCAGCTGGGTATTATTTGCTGTTTCCCAGATCTGGTTCCGGAGAGCAGGAAAGGGGGGGGGCCGGCGGGCAGGTCCGAGGCTCTTGGTTCGGGTGAGTGCACGGGTATTTTTCAATATCCATGTTGCCCCTTGGGGTTCATGCATCTGGTGCCGACGAATTGTGCACGTTTGCCGTGGGTCGCAGACTCCCTCAACACGGCTTTGTTGAAGATTGCGGAACGCAGGCGATTGAATGGTTACCAAGCCAGGTGTATCCGAAGGAACTTGAATATTGTTCTTCAGCAGCGCTCGTGTCTCGCATCATCTCCATCAAGACAGCTCTCGGCATGTCCCACCAGTTATCTTACACATGGCAATTGTTAGGGCAGTTGAAAGGGTCCCAAACGGCGACTTCGTCCGAACACTCACGCTGCAAAATGACAGCGTCCGCTCCGCCACATCCTTGCTCAAGTGGAAGAGGGGAGACCAAATATCGAGTGGGCCTTTGTACAATATCAGACTGTCATGCTTCGCAACATAAGCACAGTACGAACACGTCACATACGACACCCCCAGGAACGGGCGACTATCGTTCGGAGTATTATTCTGAGCCTGGAAGACGTTCCAGACGAATATAGATGCGAATCGATTTGTTGTTTTCCTGCCTCGATCGCCCTGGCCGGAGGGCACCGCACTATGAATGCAATGCATGTGTTGTTTGATGTTTCTCCCCCATCTTCCTCTTCCTCCTCCTTCGTCTCCTCCTTTTCCTCCTCCTCCTTCTTTTCCTGTTGACTTGTTTAGCAGGCGTGCTTGAAGTCAGACTTTTCCTGCCTGCGCGCCGGACGGCGTATGGCCAGTGCAGCGCAGTGCAGGGGACCGTTTCCGGCCCCCGGGACCGTCATTAACGGGCCCGGGGTGGAGCACTGTTCCAGAATGACCCCACGGGAGGAGTCCAGGGACCGATTTTGAGCGGATTTGCCATTATCCCTCCTTCTTGAATGATTTTCTCGCGGCCTATACTGTTCAGACCCGCCTGCCGCCCCCAAGCTATGCAGGTTCTAGTCCACCACGCCTCGGCGCGACACGCTAGACATCTCCCAGTCCCAAGGCCTCAGAGTCCCGAGCGTCCCGAGTCGCTGACCCCTTGCTGATGTTTCAGTTGCTATTGCCTGCTATGATTCGCGTGTTGCCGGGAGACGCGGCTCCAAAGCTCTTGGGCCGCTCCGACATTTCATGTACACTTCTTGGCCCAGAGGCCTTTTGCGGCGGCCTTACGGCCTGTGCCGCCGACCCTGAAGACGACTACGACGACGAGGACGACGACGACGATGACGACGACGACGACGGCGATGAAGGGCAAGGAGACGGAGGAGGAGGGGGAGGAGGAGGAGGAGGAGAAGGAGGAGGATGAGGAGGAGGCGGAGGAGCAGCAGGAGGAAAAGGCCTCTTGGGAGCTTCTTGGAAGCATCTTGGGGGCTTCTTGGGGCGTCGATGGGATCTCTTTGGGGCTTCTTGGGGATGTCTTGGGCTGTTTTGGGGCGCTCTTACGCTGCCTGACACCTTCGGAGGCCATCTTGGAGGCCTCTCGCCGCCGCCTTGGGGCTCTTTTGGGGTCCTCTTGGGCCGTCTTGGGGGCCTCTCGGATCGTTTGGGGGGCCTCTTTTGGCTGTTTCGGAGCCTTCTCGGGCCGTTTTTGGGCCGCCTTGGGGGCTTCTTGGGCGGTCTTGGGGCGTTCTTGGAGGCATCTTGGGCCATGAAGGTTATCTGAAAGCCGAAAACGGCGATAACACTACAAACTGTCAAAAACGCAGCGAAATCAATGATTTTGGCCTCTGGAGATGCTCTTTGGGGTTCTCATGTGGCCCTCCTGCGCCATGGTGAGGGCCTCGTGGGCACTCTTGGGGCCACCTTGGGATGTCTTGGGGCCGTCTTGGGGCCATTTTGGGCCATCGTGACGCGAGCTTGCGGCCTTCTTGGAGTCCCAAGAGACCCAAGAGGCCGAATTTGTTGATTTTCCATCTGTTGTTGTAGGTTCTGCACCGCAGAATGAGGGCCGAGGGAACACGAATCTGGGTGGCGACCCCCCCTGGGGACCCCTCCAGGATCTCCCCGGGATCCCCCCCTTTCGCGGGGAAGGGATTAAAGGGAAGGGGCTTCCTTTCGATTCCACTCCTAGGTTGTTCAATTTCGCTGTGGACGGCCGGTCTGTGGACGAGGGCCAAGGTGAGTGGAACGGCCAGTCTGAAGAAGAAGGCCAAGGTGAGTGGAACTCAGGAAGACGGAGACGACGAGTCGACGGGGAAAGCCCGACTCGAATGGAAAAGCCCCTGACACACGCCGACAGGGTCGGTGGATTCAATTTTTAGGCTCCCATTACGCAACACTTCGGGGTCCCCAGACCCTTACGCGTCGTGGCAATACTCACGAGGCGAGACTGTTGGCAGCTTCCGGCGTCCAGGGGCCCGCACGGTTCTTCGGGACCGCAGATCGACTCGGAATGAAAAACCTCTCGTTGAGGAAGGGTCCAGACCCCGGACCTTTCGGGGGCCCAAGCCGTCAAGAATCACGAGATCGGGCTGGGCGGGCGACTGCCAGGCCCGCAGCCTGACCCCACCGGCCAGGTCGTGGTCTACAGAGGTTCGTCAGAAGAGGGAAGGACACAGAATGCTATCTTTTCTCGTCCTGGAGGGCCCTCGTCACCACGGCCGGATTATCTTGGGATTTCTGGTCAGAGCGGGCCCCGATCGATCTCGAGAGTTGCGTCATGGGCTCCCCCAATCGGTGCGGTGACTACACCGTGCGGCGGGTCAGTGGGGATCCGTGGTGGCCGCACGTTTTCAGGACTCGGGTCGTTCGTTCTCCGAGGATGTCTCGGGCAGTCGATGCCTCCAAGGTCCCAAAACGCGGTGACGACCGTGCGATGAGGCCGTCGGGGAGTCCATTATGAGGGTGGGGGCGTTGAGCAATGAATGTGGTCAGGAGGCTCCAGGCCCTGGAGGATTCCTGATCTGTTATCGGCGGCAGTGATATCCAGGGCTGGTTCACGATTAGAGCTCCACCAGTGTCAAGACCCTGGACTCCTTGTCCAATGTGTGTGTTCTTGTCATGTAACGCTTCCACTGTTTTCACCTCACGGACTGCCACCGCACCGTCAGCGATTCAGGCAACTTGATGGGCGGCGGGTATAGGGCTAGGAGTTCTTCGAACACGCGGCAAACTTCAACCCTGTCTGCACCTCCCATCGGTTCAGGAGAATCGGAGGTTGGTGGGGGGAGGGTTGGGGTGTCGCCAGCTACAGGCGCAGAAGCGACGGAAGCATTCCATGACCGGTCGGGCATGGCAGGAATCTCGACGTCACGCCGTCAGAAGGTAAAGAGAACAGACAGCAAGAACGCGCATCACAAGAGACACCAACAACAGACATCAACGTCATACATGCATGACATGCGTTGAGACAGTTTGTAAGCAACAGACACCAGGGGCACACAGTGATACCATTTCCCAACACTATATGCCATCGATTGGCTTCAAGAGCGGCTACGAGGATTCAGTGCACCAAGAAATTACAGCAGCACCACATGTAGTGGTATACGCCAGTGGCACGCACATCAACATACAGGGAGACCGTGCATTAAGATCGTGTCAATCACACGCATGAGCAGCATACTTCGAGAACAAGTGCCACTACATGGCCGCTTTTAACAAGCAGAAGTGATGTGCAAGCAGTCGCAGGATCGCCGCATCGACGTCCCGTCGACGTACTTGCTCAAGTCTTGAGGGGGCACAGCTGCCCCCAGCCCATGCTCGCCCGTGGGCTTGGGCTCTCGATCCTCGCACATTTCAGTGCCATCGGACTCGCGCGCTGGTGGCTCACGCCTGTGGGGCCTGCCGCTGTGCCGCTGGTGCCGCCTTCGGCTGCTGGAGGCTCCGCGCACCTAGAGGTCAGCGAGCCTTCTGGACGCCTGGTGCCGCTGGCGGAGTGCATCTCGGCTGCGGTGGAGGCTTGCGAGGGGCATAGCTGCCCATCGCCCTGTACCCCTTGCCCGGCCTGCCCGTCGGCAGGCGAGTCGTCGCCCTCCTGGACGCTACAGCTCGGCATTGGGTTGTTGGGGCTGCTGCTGGTGGAAGCAGGCAGGCTGGTGATCAGATCGAGGTGTCTTGCAGCTGGCTCGAGGCTTGCAGCGAGGCGCCGGCGCTTGTATCGCACGGGAGCGGCTGAGGCTGGACAGCGGGCCTCAGGCGGTCTCGGCTGCCTCTGTCGTCGAGGTCGACTTTGGCGAGCTCGCGGCAGCGCAGGCTCGAGCTAGCAGGCTTCGGCATCAGCAGGTTCATTGATGGCGGGCTCGTTCTATTTAGTGAGGTATCCCGTCGCAGGGCCCCTGTTGTGGCACGAGCGCTTGACGCTTGGTGAGAGGGGCGCTTTGTCGTACATCGTGACCCCCGACGGGGACGACTACGTGGAGGCGAACGCCCCGGGGCCCGACGTTGCCGAGGTGATCAGATTGACAGGCCAGGGCGGGACACCTGCTGGTCTCGCTGGTGGACATGTTCACAGATTTCGGCAGCTCCCATCGGCAGCATACGCATGGAGTGCAATTGATCGTGCTGTGGCAGCGGGGTTCCCTAGACCCCCGACCGCGGTGCTGAATTTGGAGCTGGCCGATGGGAACGTGTTGGGCGTTCCTGCTGGAGTGCATGGGCTTCCTGATCCTGGTGCCGCTGGAGGCCCCCTCGCCGCAGGCGTGGTAGCTGGAGGCGCCGGCGGCGCTGGTGGCGTGGTTCCCGCAGCTGGGCTTGCGGGGGGCGTGGGCGCACTGGTCGCCGCCCTTGGAGGCCCGCCTGGGGCGGGGGCGGCGCCCGCGGCGGCTGGGGGAGCTGCAGCCGCTGGAGCTGGTCCTGCAGTGGCACCTCCCGTTCCAGGAGCGCTCGCAGTTCCACTGCCGGCGGCCCCTGCGCCACCCGTCGCTCCTGGAGATGGAATGGCTGCTGCGGGGGCTGCCGCGGCTGTGGCCGCGCCGGCGGCTGTCCCTGGAGCGGCTGTGATCCCTGCTCTCCCGATGGCGCCCGCAGGCGGAGCTGCTGGAGTGCCTCCCCCCTCGCCTGACCCCAGGGTGCTGGCCGTCACCTACGACATGCTGGGCCAGCGCCACATCGATTTCAGAGAGGGGGTTCTGCGCCTCGTGGAGTATCCCTGGCCAGACTGGAGGTTATTGGGGCCGCGGACATGCCTTTGGGTGTGCCGCTTCATCTGCGAGCACGGCGGCGCCCCTCTTGGAAGGCACACCCTGTTCAAGACCACCTTCAGGCTGACTGATGCGGATCCAGGGGCGGTGGAGCACGAGGAGTGTTGTCGCATCCTGCACGAGGGAGTTTGCTACGACCAGCGAAAATGTGGCTTTGCTCGTCTCGTTCGAAGTGGTGTGTCGCTCGTTGCAGGCGCAGGAGGAGAGGTGCAGGCACGTGCTCAACGACGACCAGGACGACGAGGCCTATGACAGGCACCTCTTCCTCGGGAGCCAGCTCTCGAGGGGGAATCTCTGCGTGTGTCCGCTGTTGCAGGCACGTGTTGCTGCTGAGCTCTCGCGGGAGGCCGCGTTGGCGAAGGGGCGACGCAAAGCTCGCGAGGAGAGAGCCCTCCCCAAGCCCTCAGCCAAGAGACCAGGCAAGAAGGGCCAGCGAGGGCAGGGGGCAGAGGCTTGAGCGCCTCGCGGCGCAGGTGTGGGCAGCCTGCGTCGCGCTTGCCCTTCCCGCCAGTGGGGCCGCGTCTTCTTTCGGTCATGGAGGAGGCTCGCCAGCGCGACTTGTTCCCCTTGCCCTCGTTGGAGACGCTGAACCAGCAATTTTGCGATCGACCTGCTTCTCGTAGTGTGGTCCGCCGTCGCCCTCGTGCCGCCCATGCTGACAAGTGGGCTGCCGAGGGCATCGACGTGCTGAATGACTTGTATGGCAGTTTTGGCTCCCGCTCCGACGTCAGCCCCAACGCGGGTCAGCGCTTGGCCCTGGAGCATCTTCGTCATCGCTATCGGCACGTGGGACCTCCTCCAGCAGATCTCATTTCAGGACAGGGGGCCCTCTGCGCGCTCCTGTCGGGCGCGCCCGGCTACACTAGTGGTGGCGGGCCCGTCGCTCCCTTCGACGGCGACGAGATCGCCTGGCCGTCCCTCTCCAGCAAGCCGGTGTACTTGACTGACCTGCTCGGGGACATGGACGCCTCGTGGCTCAGGAATTGGAAGGAGCACATGCTACGAACCTCCCAGGCCGCTCGGAGCCTCCGCGCTGAGGCGTGTCCGCGGGGCGCATACGTCGACCCGCTGTTGAATCGCAGCGTTCGCGATTATGCTGCCTTTCTCAGAGAGGCTCGGCGTCGGGGAATGCTTACTTGGAAGCATGGGCACGGCGGCGACCTCGGACTGTTTTTCGTGCGACGCAAGGACGGGCGCCTCAGGATCATCTTCGACACACGGGTCATCAACTGCGACTTCTTGCCCGCTCCATCCACTCGTCTTCCGACTCCTTCGGCGTTCGGAGCGCTGGAGGCCGACCAGCAGGTCTACGTTTCCTCTGGTGACCTGGAGGCCGCCTTCTACCGCATGCTTGTGCCGCCCGACATGGTGCATCATTTCTCTTTGCCCAGCCTGGACGCGGGGTTCTTGCTGAGCTGCGGGGTGACCGACCTGCCAGCGGGGCTGGGGGAACCCATTACTCCGCGCCTCCGCGTGCTGCCCATGGGCTTCTCGTGGGCGCTTCACCTCTGCCAGGGCGTTCTTCGGCGTGGCCTAAGCCTGGGTGGTTTCGAGCCCAGCTGCCTCGTGGAGGACGGCCAGCCTGGCCGACAGGTGAAGCGCGGCGGCCCATCGGCAGCGGCGGGCTACGTCGACAACTACTTCGTGATTGACTCGTGCGCGGAGGTGGCCAACCGCAGGGCACAGGCGGTCAAGGAGCAGCTGGCGCAGCCCGGCCTGGTGGTTCACGACCAGGAGACCGCCTCCCGCGACGCGGAGTTTCTGGGGCTGAGCTTGTCCGAGGGCCGCTTCCTGGCTACTCGCCCCAAGTGCCTGTGGCGGCTGCGGCTCGCCATCGAGAAGCTGCTTCGCATTGGGAGGTGTAGTGGGAGTCTCATGAAGGTGCTCCTCGGCCACGTCACCTGGGCTGCGCTGTTGAGACGTGAGTCACTGTGTCTGGTACAGGCCGCCTACGCATTCGCTGCCAAGGCGGGGAGCGAGCCCATCATGCTGTGGCAGAGCGTGAGGCGCGAGCTCTGGCAGGTCCGCTGCCTCCTTCTGCTGCTGCAGACGGACCTCATGTCGCCCTGGCATTCGCAGGTCGTCGCTTCTGGCGCCTCGGAGTTTGGCCTGGGGCTTGTGCGGCGCAGAGTGGCGCCGGCTGTTGTTGCACAGATCGGGCGCCAGTCCGAAAGATGGCGGCACCGTGTGGAAGGTGGAGCTCGAGCGCGTGAGAGAGCGCTTGGCCCCGTCATCATCTCATCATCGTCTCCCCCGTCCGCTCTGCAGCCTCTGGAGTTCCTCAACGTGCCCGAGTCCAGCTTCGATGAGGTCTTGGAGGAGACGTCTTGGGCAGGAGTTGCGGCCGTGAAGATCTCAGAGGACATGAATATCCTGGGCCTCGAAGGTGAAGCTCTCGCACTTGGGATTCGGCATCTTCTGCGCAGCTCGGAGGCTTTTGGGAAGCGTTTGTTGGCTCTGGTAGACTACCTGCCCTTGGCCCTAGCGGCCGCAAGGGGACGTGCCCGTTCTGCGCACCTTAGAGGTCCTCTTCGTAAGCTTGCAGCTCTCAGTTTGGCCTCAGGCTCTCGAGTATATGTGAGGTGGATTCCGTCAGAGCTCAACCCGTCCGACCCGTGCTCTCGTGGGCTCCGAGGATGGTTTTCTGGTGGCCGTTTGCCGAAGGATCGCGCCCTTCACGTCGCGGCCGAGACGGGCGCTGCTGCCTTGGATGCCGCGCCGAGCGGGCCGCAGGCCCGAGGGGGGCCCGCATGCGGGTGCGCGAGCCAGCCTTGCTCGGGACCTTCTGGCGAGCCGCTTGCCGATAGCGGGACTGACGGCCCTGGAGCAACTTGCAGTCAAGGAGTCGACCGAGACCCTGTACCGCGGCTCTGTGCAACAGGTTCACGGACTACTGCCGTTCCCACCAGGTGTCGTGGTCCACGATCCTGGAGCTGGACCTCGCCGTGCTGAGGTACCTCAACGACCAGTTTCAGGCGGGCGCCGCCGCCGCGGAGGGGAGCCAGCTGCTGGCCGCGCTGTCGCACTTCATGCCCGAGTTGAGGCGCGCCGGCAAGGCGGGCTTGGCTCAGAGCTGGAGGGCTGCCACGGCTTGGAGGCGCCGCGTGCCCAGTTTCACGCGCTGCCCGCTGCCGAGGTCTGCGACTTTCGCCATCGCGGGGATCGCTCTCGCTCTGGGGCACAGGCGGATGGCGCTCTGGATTGTGATATCTTTCGCGTGCTACCTCCGCCCCTTCGAGTGCTTCAAGCTAAGCGGCAGACATCTGATAAGCCCCACGGCGACAGCTGGCCCCGCTTGCCAGGCCTGGGGGCTCCTACTACACGACATTGCCGAAGCCCAGCCAGGCAAGACGGGCCTGTTCGAGGAGTCAGTATTGATAGACCTGGATGTGTTTCTCAATCCCCTCTTGCGGGCCCTCAAGCTAGCCACTCCTCCCGAGGAGACGCTCTGGCCCTTCACTGCCGTGGGGCTTCACACAGTCTTCTCAAATGCGGTGTCGATGTTGAACCTGGACAGTCTCAGGCCCCATCTTACTCTCTTCGGCGCGGAGGGGCATCAGACGACCTACTCAGCAGTCGGCGCACGGTCGAACAGGTGCGTCGGAGGGGGCGGTGGAAGGCAGCTTCGTCCATGGCCAGGTACGCCAAGGAGTCGAAGCTCTTGCGAGAGATCAGCCTCGTCCCGCTGGCCAGCTTCAAGATCGGGGAGATCGTGGAGCAGAACTTCCAGCGTCTGGTGGAGAGTGTCTCGGGCGTGATCGACAGCGTGCCCGACTCGCTCAGGCTGCTCGTCAGGAGGCTGGCCGGGGGCGGCTCCGCTGGGCTGCCGAGCTTCGACGCCCTGAACTGCGGGGTGGTTCGCAAGCGGCCCGCTGGCGTGGCGATCAGCCGCAAGCAGGTGGGCCGCCGCCACTCTGCCGCCCCTCTGCCGGCATAGCGCGGCGGCTGCGCCGTGAGTTCAGGCAAGCACTGCGGACTGCCCGCTGGCGCAAGCACTGCGTTTTCTTAGACCTGTTTGCTGGCTCGCAAGGAGTAGGCCACCAGCTGAGACAGGCTGGATACGCTGCAGTTTCGCTTGACAGTCAGATGGGTGTGCATGGCAATCTTCTGGTTCGCACCGTCGAGAAAATGCTGAGGGGCTGGATCGCGTCGGGGGCTGTGCTGGGAGTGTGGCTTGCCACTCCCTGCACTACCTGGTCGCAGGCTTTAAGGCAACCGCTCCGATCTTCCTCTAACCCCATGGGCCGTTCTGATCTTTCTCAGTCTCAGCGTGCGCGTCTTGAGGTAGGTAACAGCACCTTTCATGCCACCTGCCGTCTTGTTGACGCTTGTCGCAGGGTTGGGGTGCCTGTTTTCGTTGAAAATCCCGACAGGTCGCTGATGTGGGAAGCCCCCCGCATGCTCGCGCTGAGACGCTCTCGCGACTGTGTCGAAGCCCGTCTTGATCAATGCCAGTTTAAGGCCCCGTGGAAGAAGGCCACGCGAATTGTTGCGTGGCGGAGCGGCTGCCTGTCTCGTCTCTGTCATCGTTGTAAAGCCAGTGGCCGAATCTGCAGTAAATCAGGAGTGCCGCATCAGGAGTTGGCGGGGCGTGCACCTGGTGGTAGACACTGGACTTCAATCGCCGCCGCATATCCGAAGCCTCTCTGCCGTGCAATTGCTCGCACCATGATTGACGTTGCCGAATATTTACGAACTGCTTTGTTGTGGAGCAGGTTTAAACCTTGAGTTTCCTTGTTGCATTGCTTGTGTTTGTTTTTCGGCCTGCCGGCCAGGTTTACCACTCGGGTTTGGGAATATCCGAGCGCGTCTGGTGGCCTACGCCTTCGCCCGACCGATCGAAGGTTATCGCCTTGGCTCCAGACACGATAAAACAGTGTACTGGCGATCTTGGGATTCTGCGGTCTAGATCTCTGGCCGCTTTTAACAAGCAGAAGTGATGTGCGAGCAGTTGCAGGATCGCCGCATCGACGTCCCGTCGACGTACTTGCTCAAGTCTCCCTCCCTCCCTTTTTTTGCCCTCTTTCGCCTTTCTGTTTTTCCGTGAGGATTCCCTCGCTCGACAGCCACTTGTATGCTGTCGTGTCCTCTGTGAATATGCATTCACGAGCTTCTACTTCGGGAATCTCCGAGCGCGTCTGGTGGCCTACGCCTTCGCCCTACCGATCGAAGGTTATCGCCTTGGCTCCAGACACGATAAAACAGTGTACTGGCGATCTTGGGATTCTGCCGTCTAAATCTCTATGTTTACAGAATATTGCACATGAGTGATATGCACCCTTAACGTGCACCAAATATCAAGAATTGCCACCCGTAAACTGATCAATCAACACAGCGGGGGCTTGTCCCTTGCATGATTATTGCGCGTCGCCGCACACGGGAGTTGCCATCTGTGTAACACGCATGTATCTTGTGTGACAACATGCGTATCTAGCAACAGAAACCACGTGCACAACGACCGTTCAACACTCATGCGAATCACAGCACCGGTAGAGTCACGCGACGGGCTACGAATCCATTCGCAGCAGCTCCATGGTGGGGAGCGCCCGGAGTTACACAATGCCATCGTTTTGACTCCGCAGCGCCACTCGTTTCACCTCCTCTTCCCGCCTTCCCCTCGTTTCCTTCATTTCTCCTCCTCTCCCTGCCTCGGCGTTCCTCCTCTCGCGCTTTCTCTTTTCGATCTCGGGCACGCCCAGTGTCCCCAAAGGGAGCCTTACGGGAGCCTTCCTTACGACCAGAGTGAAAGTGGCTTCCATGACCGACGCCCATGTTGGCACACCGCTCACGCGTGTCGCGCCTCCGTAGCGAGCCCATCCACGGCCACACTGGGCGTCAAAGTATGCCGCTGGCACGAACCCCATCGTCAGGCAAACGAGTAAAGTCTGGAATGTAGGCTTGAAACTGTATAGCTAATCATGTATAAATATATCCATGTATACTGCAGATGTACATGTGTTCATACATGAACATAGGAACATGAGAGAAAGGAGGGAGAGAGGAAAGAAGCAGGGGAACCCGTCTGTTTTCGTCCTTTTTCACTCTTAATAATATTCTGACTCTTATTCGCATTATTATTCTGATTAATAATATGTATTATTAGTTGTTATTCTTATGTGCATTATTATGGTTGGCCTTATTGTACTTCTTGTCTTTTTTGGCAAGCTGTCGTAATTTGTTTTGTGCGGGTGGGGTGCTAAGATAACGCGCCGTGCGTGGCGGGGGCGATAATCCGCGAATGCACTGTCTCCTACACGACGGCCGGAAAAAAACAATGTTTCAACAGGGGTGGTAACACAAATCGTATAGGACAAGGGTGATGAAGGTAATGAGAAACGAGTTTCCTTATTTGAAATATCATTTTTATCCTTAATCGCATTCTCAGTATTATTATAAGTATGAGTCGTATTATTATTATTGTTACCGTTGTGATTCGCATTTGGAGTATGATTGTGATGATTTCGGTTCTTCTTTCTTACTTGTATTATTACCTCTACTCTTATTAATGATATTATTAATCGTACCCTTACTCGTATCCCTATTTTTATGCTTAGTCGCATTCTCATTCGCATTCACATTCACATTTGTTATGCTTATTATTCGTATTTTTATTCAAGATACGATTCTTGGTCTTATTACTATTATTATTAACATTAGCATTCTTGGTCTTACTAGTACTAGTGTTAGTGTTAGTATTACCCTTACTCTTGTCATTATCTGTATTACTATTCTGATTAATACGGCTCGTATGCCACTTTTATTATTATTCCACTTCCAATTGGAACACCACCAGAGCCGGGGTGCGGGAATTATTGCGAAGGCCTTACGGCCGTTGCCGCCGACCCTGAAGATGACGAAAGACAACACGAGGGGGGGGCAGGAGGAGGAGGAGGAGGAGGAGGCGGAAGGGAGTAGGAGGAGGAAGGGTGAAGGGGGAGGAGGAGGAGGCCTTATGGATGTTGGTTGGGATCTCGTGGTTGACCTCTCGGGGGCGTCTGGAAGGCAACTTGAAGCCTCTTGGGGGCCGTTGTGGGGCCTCTTGGGGCCTCTTTTGGGCCTCTTGGGGCTTCCGGAGGCCGTCTTCGGCGCATCTTGGGGGCGTCTTGGCGCCGCTCGGGGGCCTCTTGGGGCCTTTTGGGGGCCTCTTGGGGCTTCCCGGGGGCCTCTTAGGGCGGAAGTCTCGAATTCTCGGTTCCTCGTCCCCCTCTTGGCCGTTTCTTGGGCCCGTCTTGGGGCCCTATTGGGCCGTCTTGGGCGCCTCTTAGGCTGTCCTGGGGCCTTCTTGGGCCGTCTTGGGGCCCTCTTGTAGGCCTCTTGGGGCGCTCTTGGGGGCCTCTTGGGGGCCTCTTGGGCCGTCTTGGAGTGTCGGAAAGCCGAAAAGGCGAGAAGGCCAAAATCATTCAAAAACCAATGTAAAATTGACGATTTTGGCGCCTGGGGCCCTCTTGGGTGTGCTCTTGGGGCTCTCTTGGAGCGTCTTGAGGGCCTCTTGGGCCGTCTTCGGGCCGTCTTGGGCGTCTTGGGGCCATCGTTCGTCGAGTCGAGGCCCTCTTGTACCCTTTTGGGGGTGTCTTCTGTCGCTCTTGGCTCGTCTTGAAGCTTTTCTGAGCTCCGGGACCCCCCGGGGAGGATGCGTATCTGGGTGGCGACCCCCCCCGGGGACCCCCCCCGGCGACCCCCCCCGGCGACCCCCCCACCCCCCCCCCCGGCGGGGAGGGTAGGGAGGGGCTTCGCCACGACTCAACTACGACGTTGCTCAATGTCGCTTTGGCTCGCGCGCTCAAGGAGACGGGGAACGACGAAGACGACGAGGGACAACGGAGACGGAGACGACGAGGACACGACGGAGACGACGACGACGACGACGACGACGACGGTGATCCACGCAAGACGACGACACCCGGATGCGTCTTCCACACGCCGACAGGGTCGAGCCGGGGTGCGGGAATTATTTATGGTCGTTCTATTTGCGCGGTGCTAATCATATCGTTCGGCGAAAACCGCAAACGCAAATCACGACTGGAGCCCTAGACCCTGATGTTTCTGGAGCATTTCCGAGCCCGATGGATATGTGACGGTCTGGGGGCCCGAAACCCAGCGAGCACAGCCGTCGTGAGACAGTTATGTAGCCTAGGTCTCAGGGTGGAGAGCTGGTCGTCGTCGTCGCAGTCGCCCTCGCCGTCACCGCCGAGCAAAACAATGGTGCGCTCAGGCCGCGGCCCCGGTGGCGGCGGCGCTGCACGCGGCTCTCCTCGCGGTGGAGGCTTCGAACGCCCAGGTGGACGGAGCGCTCGTCGGCATGGCGGCCGCGCAGGCGAGGGAGGGCACGGCGGCTCTCGGCAATCCTCGGCGGCTCTCGGCGATCCTCGGCCGTTCTCGGCGAGCCTCGGCGGCCCTCGGAATCCCTTGGAGGCCCTCGGCGGCCCTCAGCTGTCCCCGGAGGCCCTCGGAAGCCCTCGGCGGCCCTCGTTGGGCCTCGGATGCCTCGGCGGGGCACGGTCAAGACGCTGAAATATGGACCACTCGGGGCTCAGGAGGGGCTTTAGTTTTCTTGCCGCTCCTCAGATCCAGTGGAGCCTGTTCGTGGCAGAGGCTCGCCGTGGCCAGGAAGGCCCCTTCGCTGCTTACTGAACACCCTTCCGTCTGGTAGCACGATCGACGATGGATGTAGGGAGAGAGGGGAGGAGGAGGAGGAGGAGGAGGAGGAGGAGGAGGAGGAGGAGGAGGAGGAGGAGGAGAAGCAGCAGCATCAGCAGTAGCAGCAGCAGGCGGAGGACAAGGAGGGGGAGGGGGAGAGTAGGACAAGGTGGAGGGGGAGGAGGAGGAGGAGTATGAGAAGGAGGAAGGAGGAGGAAGAGGAGGAGGAGGAGGAGCAGAAGTTGGAGGAGGAGGAGGAGGAAGAGGACGATGAGGACGAGGGCGACGACGTAGGACGACGACGCCGACGTCGACGGAGGACGACGGACGACGTCAACGGCGGACGACGATGGACGACAACGACGACGAGTGACGACGTCGTCGACGAACGAGGAGGAGGAGGAGGAGGAGGAGGAGGAAGAGGAGATGGGGAGTGAAGAGGACGAGGACGAGAAGGGCGACGGCGGCGAACGATGACGTCGACAAACGGTGACGTCGACGGACGACGAGTGACGACGACGGCGGACGACGCCGACGACGACGAGCGAGCACGGTGATGTTGATGATGGTTTTTGACGAACGGCACGACGGCTTTGTAGCGGCGGCAGCGACGATCGCGATGTGGCTCGATGTTTGCATGGTGCTGATGTGCATCTTGGCGCAGCCGCTCTCATTGGGTTTTGACTCTCCAGCCCGATCTGACTTCAGTGGCCCCCCGAGGCCCGTGGAGGTCTCCCGAGCACCAAGGCCGCCCAAAGACCGAAAGATCCAACAAGCCTGGATCCTTGAATGTCAGTCCTCGGTCGGCGGCGTCGACGACGCCGTCGACGACGATGACGAAGGCCTCGCGCCTGACGCGGCGGGGTCTGATCGACGCGCTGTGCGCGCTCGCGCGGTGCCGGAAGCGGTGGCAGCGGTGGCGGCCGCAGCGGCGATGGGAAACGATGGCGGCTGTCCGATCCGAGCCGGCCAGAGGTTTGGCATCGCTCGGACGTGTATTGTTTCCTCGGCGAGGATCACCGAGGAGCATCTTAGATCCTTGCGAACAAAAACCAACGACACCGAACAATGCACGGGGAATGGACGTCCTATCGACGGCAAGACTGGGCTCCTCCTTACTCAGCAGCCGCGCGTGGACGTCACACCGGCAGCAAGAATCTACATGCACATGTCTGGGAGTTGCTACTGCGCCTCGGCCGCACGTGGCCAGGACGAGGAAAAGTCCGTTCCAGAGCGTTCCGGAACGCTCTGAGAATGCCGCGGCGCCTGAGACATCCTTCAGAGCCGCCTGATCTCAGAGATTCTCGATCTCACCCGATGTTATCCTCGTGCTGGCTTCGTCTTATTCGGAGCTCGACCCCTGGCAAGCTCTGTGCCAATGGCTTACGAGGGTGATCAACAACGCTCTGTTACAGGAGGGGCGAGCAGGAAGGAGGGAGGAATGGGGTAGGGAATGGAGGAGGGGGGCAGATAGGGGAGAAAAGTACCAAGGTCTCGCGAAAGAGTTGCAATATTCTTTGACGGCTGCTCCCCAGCTCCTTGGAGAGCATTGTAACATCGGTTGCAGGCTGTTATGGCCATCTCCTGCGACGCCCGGCGCGCGGGCGTGCATGTGGGCGCGCGCGGTCCCCTCCTGGGGCCTGTCTCTCTGGGCGAGCTTCCCGTCCCGAGCCGCGTCCAGGCCTGATGGCGATAAAACCTCCAGGGGCGCCCCCAAACGGATTGACGACACCGGCGGCGGCGGCGACGGCGACCCAGTCATCCGACGATGTGGTTTTTGCAAATCCGCGGCCACATAGGTGTGGGCCCCTTCCCCACGGCCAGTTTTTGTGCCCCAGATCCGTTTTAGATGTCCAAGGGTCCTGATAACGAGCCCTAGAGGCACACATCGGAAAAAACGCCCAACAGTGTCGCGAGAGAACTTGGGCGACCACGGAGGCTTCGCGCCTTGGGCTTCGGGCTCTGATCGACGCGCTGTGCACGTTCGCGTGGAGCCGCCTGTCGCAGTGCGGAGGCCGCGAGGTGGCCGAGCTGGTGTCCGCGGCCGTGAAGCACGGATGCGGCGATCCGGGCTCTCTTCGTCCTCTGTGTTTATCTCCTCCTCCTGCTCCTCCTCCCCCTCCGTCCGTAGCCATTTTTGCTCAGGGGGTTCCGCGTCTCCGTGCCGAACAGGATACCGCTGCCACCGCGGCCAGTCTTCAGCGGTCGCTCCCAGCCCTTGCCTCCCGCCCGCGGCCGCTCATGCTTGGGACCGATGGCGGAACCCCCTAATGCAAGGTGCGAAAAAGAAGATCGCTGGTCCTCGTCCTGTCGCTGCTGGTGCAGGTGGTGGTGGTGGGGATGGCATTGATACAGGAAATGGTGCTAGGTCTCGCTCCGACCGCACACACAGCGAGGATGAAAATGGAATGGGTCCACAAAATTGGGACGCCCACATCAACACTCTAGTCGACGAAATGCTCGGTATTCAGTTCAAGGCCTTGAAGGATGAGATCAGTAGCATGGCCGCCATCATTGCGAGCGAATCCGCTGGCAAAACTGTGGGCCTTATTATGGCGGCGATCAAAGCGATGGAGGATGCAGCCAAGTCAGTTCCGAACGCCAGCAAAGCACATGTGGAAGCCACGCTTCGCCCCGATATCGACACAGTGGAGAAAAGATTGCAAGTGAAGTTGGGCACTTTCTCAGCCAAGGTGGCAGCGATCGACGGGAGGACTGACGAGACCGCTGCTGAGCATGTTGACGTGCACACAGCCATGGAAAAGATGCGCCGCGAGCTCGCGCTCGCCAACAAAGCTCCTCCGCCCCCCAAGCCTCCCAGTTCTGGGATCCAACGTGAAGTTGACGCTACCATTCTTAAGATTGTCGCGGCCACGATCGCCAATCCTATTGACGTCGCTCCACATGTGGGCAAGTGGCTCGGTGACGCGAACATCGGGGGCCTCACTGCGGTGGAAGAGGAGCAGGATCGGATCTTCGTGGTGCAGTTCACGGGCGCAGTCGCTGTCGTTGGTCGCCGTGTCGTTCAGGCTCTCGGCGCCTTTCGGGATGCGCGTTCCTCTCCCTCCGGCGCGTGGCGGCCCCACGCAGTTGCACGTGGGCCCTGACAAGAGCCCGTTTCATATTATTATGTTCGAATTTGCCGGGCAAGAGTGGTGATTGCTTTGCGCGAGCTCTACCCCGAGGCCAGGCACTTCGTTGACAGGCGCCATGGTTGGATCACCGAGACCTGGAAACCGATCCTCGAGCTGGAGCTCCAGACTGGTCGCGATTCTACTGGGTGCTTCTGGCTCGATGCAGCGCACGCCTGTCACGGATGGGCCCGCGCCGAGGCGCGGAAGGCATCGTCGGCATTCTTGGCCCCAGCGCAGCACCAGAGTGGTCTCTTCACGGCGACATCTACGCGCGCCTGGTGGAAGGCGGGCGGGCCCCAAATGTCGAGGAGCTGTCTCGTTGCTTGGAACGCGCGGGCTTTGTTGCGCCGGCGTGGTGTTCGTGCCATGGAGGACGCAGTATTCGCCTGAGGCGGGCATCTCGCGCTCGGTGCGCGCGACCCATTCACCAGTCGCTGGAGGAGCTGAAACTCTTCATGAGCAGGGTGGCGCCGTCGCCATCAGTCTTCGGTTCGTTTGTGCTTGATCGGGAAGGCCATGCCCGCGGAGAGGCGGCGACAGTCGTGCTTTTGTCTTCGTCGGCCGCAGTGTCAGCCGCGCCGTCTCCTCTCATCTCGGGGAGTGTGCTCAAAACGACTTTGCGTGGCTCGCGAGCAGAGACTCGCCATTGCAATATTCGCAATTACGGGCTATCGGCAGAGGGCGTCTGGAGCGCGACCTCAGATTTCCAAAGGGGTATCCCGTGGACTCAAGTGGAAGCTAGTTCGCGACTGGTGGTGGTTTGTGGCGATTTCAATATTGCGTCGCACGGTTCTTGCAACCCGCTTTCCCCGAGGCCGCCGGGGATGCCGAGGCCGCCAACGACGCGCGGGCACGAGGAAGGACCTGGCCGGCAACGCTGCGCGAAGCGTTGGACGCGGCCGCCGAGGGCCCCGCGCACTTCTGCACATTGTCCTATTCGTTGGCGCAGTGAGATCGCATCTGATTGCGTGAATTGAACTGGCTCCCTCGTCAACTTCGAGGCATCGCAGGCCGCGCCGACGTCTGCGTGCGCGATCAGCCTCGCCAGCTGGGCGCAGCGCCTCGAAAGGCGGCGCCTGCGGCGATTTGCGAACGTCCTGATTTCCGGCAGCGCCATGATTCTTTTTCGCAAGATCGGCGCCTTGTCTCCCCCGTGTCGCCCCCCTCGGCAGCTCGAGCAGCGCCGAGACTCAACGGGCGCAGCCGCCCCCGACTCGCTCCGCCAGCTGACTGTCAACCACCCGCTCAGCATAGAGGCCCAGTGCATCTTCATTCGGCAGATCTGGCGGCTGGACACGGCGTTCGCGCGGAAGTTGTGCAGCGCTTGGGAAGTTGCCCGCAGTTGCATTGACATGTCTGGAACTTGTACGATTCTGATCGACCCAGTGACTGCGCATGCGCGGGCGGTCTCTGATCCACCGCGCCTTCGCTGCGCAGGAACCTGCCGAGCTTCAAAATGGCGCGATGCACGCGCGTGGTCCGGCTAAGCCCAGCGCTGGCATCATCTCTGCGGAGCCGAGCAAACCTCGCCTGTGGGCACCTTTCGCAAAGCGGCCCACGTTGCGCGCGGTGGAGGTTGAAGACGTCTGCTACGCCGGCTCCGCGGCTTAGCTTGATGCGTCGGCTAACGATGTTGGCCCCATATCTCGGTGAGGCCCCCTCTCTCTTCCCGCGGCGCGCGAAGGTCGATGACCAGAAAAGTCAGCGGCGCAGTGCGACTTCTCCAAGATCGCGCCGCCTTCGCGCGAGTTGCTGTCTCGCGCTCTCCCCAGACTGGTGCCGTCGAGATCGGCCCCTGGCGTGGGTGGTCTTCCCTGCGCAGCATGGGCTGGTCGCCCGGCGGGGGCAGACGTCCTGCGGGGTGCTCGTGCATGAATGATGGGTGGTCAGCATCTCTTCCTTTCTTCTGGCGTGACATAGCAGGCTTTTCTGCCAGAGGGCGTCAAACTGGTGGCGACGACGAGGGGGAGTCGCGCGTGCTCCAGACGCCGTCAGAACCTTGGGGCTGGGCTGCACAGAGATTCAGATCATCTCAGCCACGTCCAGCATCGCCTTTGCCCCCATCGTTTGGCAGACTCTCTCAATGGCCCAGCGAGGGGATTCGTCGCGGGCAGGCAGCTCATGTCCAACATCCTCGAGCTGGACACAGCGGCGCGCATCGCCTCGCTGCTTCCTGCGGTGGAGCGGAAGCAACCACTGTTAGTCTCTCTTGACTGCGGACATGCAATCGCTCGCCCCGGCGGTTGCGACGGGGCGGACAGCTGGCATCATCAAGGACCTCTCTTGCATATGCTGCGGGGTCATTCATGGATCTGCGCTCTCTAGCAGTCTCTCTGCAGCGGCGACGCCACCCCGTCTCGAGGACCTCAGGCTTGACCTTCGAGTGGCTGAGCGCGTTGTCGCCAGAGCCCGCGCTGATGTCATCGGCGGAATGCTGTTCGACGTGATCGACCCTCGCTTCTTGGCCAGAGTTATCAGCTGTGGCGGAGGAGCTGGCGAACTTTAAACTCAAGCCCCTGGAGTGCGCGCTCGTGCTGGGGCATGGTCGATCCAGATTCATTTTGAGATGCAGGAGTACTTGGGGGCACCTGAAGACAGCGGACTCGTTCGAGGTGGAGCAGGCGTTGCTGTTTCTCGCTGCGCGGTTGGGGGCGGCTCCAACTGCGATGCAATATTGGGTTGCGCCGTGGCTCGATTTTAAATCCAGAAATGCCGCATCGGCCGTATCGCGCGCTCAACGTCATCGACTACATCGCGCGGGTGCCTCCCCACCATGAGTAACATCGCAGTATTGTCGCCGCTCCCAGATCAGAGCCTGGAGTCCGACATTTACGCTCTCGTCCGCCTGCTTCGGCGTCCTGGCCGTGCCCTCCGTTGCATCGGCTTGTTCCGTCTCGGGCAGTGGGGGGGGGGGCCAGGCTGGGGCTGGCTGCGTCGTCCTCTGTCGCTCTTGCGCGGCCCCGAACATCGCCATTACCTCGATCGCCAACGTGCTTTCTCTGAGTGCGGCGCCGGCGTCTCGCGGACCTAAATGGAAGACGACCCCCTTCCTCTGGAAGTTGCCATCTTGTGGACTTCCCCGAACGCGCGAGCGTCGAAGGGTCGTCGCCCGGGGCTGCGGAAGCTAGGCGACATCTGCGTTCTAATCCCGAAGCGAGACGTTCTGTTAAGAAGACGCCATGCGCAGCTTGCCTCGCGGACATGCTCAAGCCCTTCTTCGCGCCCGATCGGTTCAGTGTCTCCCCTTTCTGACGCGATTCGCTAGAGGTGGGCGAAGTTTTTCCCGCTCAAACACGACGAACCTGCCGGGCAACAATGGGGGGGAAGTTGCAGAAGCAGCTTCCTTCTTTTCCAGCGTTCTAGGCTACGGGCGCACTGAGTGGATTCGTTGGTGCATGGCCCACGTCTGCTCGGATTTCTACGCCTACTGGACTGCGCAGCTGCATCCCTGGATGCGGGGGCTGCGAAGACGAGATTGGTCATTTCCCGGAATGTCGGAACCTCGCGGGGCGCATTGCCATGGCCAAGTCTCGCGGGCGGCTACTTCCCCCATCGGAAGTGCCACGCCGCCGGGGAGTTCGAGGGGCGACTGACGAAGACCTGCTGCGCACCCAGCTTGCCGCCATTGTCTACCGCGAGCTTCGCCAAACCCACTGCGTGCAGCATGGCGCCCTCCTCAAAGCTGCGCGTGGTCTACGTCCTGTCTGAGTTGCCGCTCGGACGGCGCGCCCTGCGCGATGGTCTCCCGCGCCGTGTTCGTTTCCCGTTAGGGGCAGGTGAGGCGCGTTCCTCTACGGAAGCTCCAGTGGGTGCTGGTTGCGTGGTATTCGAACGGCCGCGCGACCTCGTGTTTCGAATTGAGACTTGGGCGCGACATTGGTAACTGACGTTCATGTCGGTGGATTCGGGCCT